TTTTTCTTTTTTTATTTTTTAAATTTTTTTTTCCCTTCCTTTTTAGAATTTTTTTTTTTTTTTTTTTTTTGCAGACATCTTGTTCGCATAGTCGAGTGCTGGAATCATAATTTAAAAGTGTGACGTAAACCCAAAGTTTGTAAAACATCAAAGTCACGATGAAGCACTTACCGCCCGGAGAGGCTCGGATTAAGCTTGCAATGCAGTAAAGATTTGATTTATTGTTTGTTCTGGAAATGGTTTTTATTTTTCATAAACTGATTTGAGTGTTGCTGGGTGGGTTTGCATTTGTTTCCCCCCCTTTTTTTTTTTTGTAATTTTATCAATGCGACACTACATCGTTTAACACTGTACGAAGCCCCTCGCTGATGTTCTGCCTCTGTTTGGTTTAATCTAGCTGTGCCCTTTCAATCTGGCTTGCAAATTACCCTTTAAAGAGGCAAAATAATAATCCAAAAGAAGAAAACCCCAAATGATTTAATGAACCCAATGATAATATATTTGGAAGAGCTTCAACCCCTTAGTCTGTTTGGTGGTTTGAGTAAATTAAGGCATTTAATATATATATATAAATATAGTGTTTTCTAGAAGATGAGTATGCACACTATTTACAGAAAGCTTTGAAATTTAATTTTAGTTTCTTTTTGTTTTTCTGCTTCTAACATCCTTCAGCAGTGTTCGTGTTTGACAGTATAGGCTGCTCCTGCTTGCTGGTAGATGTTTTTATTTACTCTCGACAGGCTGTCCACACTGTTATCTCATTGTTGATCATCAATAAACATTCACTGAATCTGACAGACGTGTTGGTGGCAGTTTTTGTTTATTTGGTGTTGGTTTAAAATGTGAATTAAATAGCATTAGGAATGAGTGTTAATAGATCCGTTCATGGTGCAAAAACGAGAGACACAACACAGTGCTGAATTAATGAAATGCTTCAATTTGAAGCAGGATAAGGCCACCTGGTGGCTGTAGGTTTTCCCCTTTTTTTCTCAGTTCTTCCTTGATAAATCCTCAGGAATGAGAATCTTCTGCTGTTCAGTTCCTTCTGCATTACCTCCGGGTGGTTGGCTGCTGTTGAAGGTGAGGTATGAGTAGACTAATCCTCCTGACATGCTGCAAAGAAAATGACAAGTAGGAGTAAAGTGATACGAACATTTTCTGTAGGGTGCATTGCATAAGCCCCTTGCACAGCCTTGAAAATGACTTTTCCAGGTTCAGATGAGTAGAGAAAAAGCTCGAGTTTCCAGAATCTATTATAAAGTGGGTTTTTTAAATGTTTATCCATATCTAAATAATATTTATCTTCCATTTTAAGTCAAACTCATGGATCAGTCTGGTTGTTGAGTTACTGATTGAGAACAGTCGTTATTTATCTTCTCATTCTAAAGTCCAAAAGGGCTTTTTGTGCTCCAGACCACGGCGCTTGTGCAGCTATTCATCTCCGTTTGAGAACGGTACAAATTATATTTACGTTGGGTTGCCTCTGACTTGTGTCATGTACTTCTCAGTGAGAAAAAACCAGAACATCAAACAGCATATATAATAGTAAAAATGATACACATATATGTTGTTTGGAATGTGGTTTCTCGGTTTTGTTTTTTCCCCTCTTTCTGCAGGACTAGAAACAGACTTCCAAGGTGTTGACTTGTGTTTTCTCTACTTCTATCCCCACCTTCTTTTTCTCTCTGTGTCCATTAGATTTGAAAAACATCTAGTGAAGTTTCACACGTATATCAAGTGGAGCATCAAGGCTCTGCTTGTGAAAAGTAAATCTGTTGGGCTCAGACAACAATTCTGTCACTCTGTTGGACAGGACGTAAAAAAAAAAAGAAAAGCAGAAATTGAGTTTGAGATCCATTCCCACAAAATCAGACCACTGTGTTCATTTCATTAAAAATGTTGAGTGTTTTTCTGTTGATTAACACAAAAATGTCACAATAAAATGTGTTTTTCCTTTTTCATTTTGATGCCCAGCAACTGCTTTAAAGTCGACAACGTTGGATCTTGTGGACATGTCCAGAACAGAGTTTGAACATGTAACCTGCGGTTCTTAAACACGGTAAATTCTGCTTTAAAGAAAATATTCTGTGTGATCTACGTAGGTTTTGCACAGGGGGCTGATCTGAGTCAGCAAAAAATAAACAAATTAAAGGAGCCCTTTATCACTTTGCCAAATTGAAAGCCGGCTTGAGCTTTGTGTTGTGTAATGATTTGTGCAATGGTTTGTGGGACATGCACAGAGTAAAACTTTATTTTGCAAATGTTTTTCTCTCGGATTTCCAAACTGTTATAAAAAAAAAAGCACATAAATTTTAAAAATTGAGTGTGGAAAAGTGACCTTTGCCAAGATAAATCCAGAAAGTATGTCTAAAAGATTTCATTTATGCAGAAGAGATTTGGTTGAACGATGGCATCAGATTGGGATTTATAGACAACTTCATTTGTTTGAGTAAGAGCTTATGCTTCATATGGTATTCTATTTCTATTAATGTGAATTATGACACCAATAGAAAAATGAAGCCATAGTAAAATCCTCACCAAATGCTGAGGCCGAGGAAGTTGATCCATGAGAACATGTAGTCTCCACCCACAAAGATGCCGATGTAAGCTACGGCCACGTTCTGAGGAGGGAGATCAAATGACAACCGAGTAATCGAAACAAAACCCGTGAAACGTTTTCTTTCCTTCATTTGACAGTAAACATGAAAAACCCGGAGGTCTGGGAAGTTCAGCAGTTTGAAATAACAGGTTGAGATCTAAGTTTCCCGCTCCGTGTGAAGTCGTTTCAAAAGCTTCTCATGAGCTTGCTCTTACCTTTATGGCCCCTACAACTGTAGTTGTAAGTGCTGAGTTATAATAGCTGCAGAGGACTATGGAGTACATCAATACAAATCTGATGGAAAAAAAAAAAACAGACAAATTTACGAGTTTATCAATACAGCAAAGGACTGACTGTGACTGAATGGGTTGGATTGTGTTTCTGTAACATACCCCATGAAGCAGGACAGAAGGAAGCATAAAATAAATGCAACATTTCTCCAGTCTTCAAATGAGAGAGCCTGGGGATGAAAACACAAACAGTGGCAAAATGAGAAAAAAAAAACCTCTATTTTGGGCTACAAATGCAACTAATCAATAGTATTTTTTTTGTACCTTGTGTAAATCTCCAGTGAACACACTGGCCAAGAGAGTGGGGAGGACGATGATGAGCGAATTGTAAAATAAGACGCCGTACTTCCCAAGGCTCTGTGCACAAACAGAGGGAAAGACGAGGTGATTGAAAATGCTGTTTTAATACCCAGATAACTTAACTTTTGTCCGATACAGTTAAGCCCAAATTTATTCAGACCACTGGCAGATTTAGATGTAAAACTATTTTTATTTCACCAAAAAGTTTGTTCCTGATTGAAAATAATGCAGGAATCTCCCAAAAGAGAATAAGACAATCAACTTTGAATAAATCTTAAGAAAAAACTAAAACGTTTTATTCTCCTTTTAATAAAAAAATTGGCAAATTTGTCCATAGATTATATTCCAATAATCTATGGACAAATGTTTTTTGCAGCAATGGAATCAGGAATTTTCCAGACCATCCAGAACAGATTTGGACCCGTTAACATAAAGACAATAATAAGCTGAAGAACGATGGAGCCGTCAGATTTTTCTGTTTTTTTCCACCCATTTTTTTTTAAGTTATAATTTTCAGATAATATTCATCTGCTTTGGATATTGCTTTTTTGAAGACTGCTCAATTCACAGTCACAGTCAAATATAATAAGTGATTGAAAAATGAACAAAGTTCAGAGAAAAAATTTGACAAACCTTCAAAAGCCACAGGAAACAACAACAACAAAAAAAAGATCAAGTATATTTTTAGAGATTAGAAGAGAATTTGGCTCTTTGTAAGCAAAAGTCTAATGAAATTAGAGTTGGTTTAAAACTTTTGCCTATTTAAAAATCCTTTTAATCAAGTAAGTATGTTAGTATATAGTATAACTTAAAAAAATAACACACATGGATATTAAATCAATACTATGCAGGCTGTGGGGTACATGGTACCTGATCACCAAGTTTCTTCTTGGTGTAAACACCAGAGGCTGCAGTGAAGGCATCGTTCAGCAGAATGAAAGTGTAGGCCTCCACGTCAAAGGCCAGGTCAGAACTAACACGCACAAAAAGAAAAGTAAGAAAAATCCAACAATCTGCACCAAAACCAGATTACAAACATTTAATCTGTAAAACAAAGAAATTATATGAGAGAAAGTCTGTACCTTGCAGCCACCATGGCCCCAAAGACTATCGTCACAACACTGCAAATTACACGTCTAGAAAAAGTTTTTCTGAACAAACAAACAAGAGGCTCAAGGTGAAAAAAAACAAAAACAAACCTCTTTTAACACAACTAATCAGTTACTTTTTTTTTTCTCACCTTAATAAATAAGCTTCCAAGATCATCGTCATCAATATAGTGAATTTCCGTAACACTGTAAACATGGGTAAACTGAAAAAGAGGTGTTTAAGAGTGATCACTGTGTGCTAAAATAAAGCAAACATAAAAATGTAAAGGCATTCTTCAAGTAAGATGGATTAAAACCTGAGCTTTTTGGTGCTTGCCAGTCCTGTCACATGGTTTCCAACATACAATAACGGTAGAGGGAAAATCTGCAAAAAATTAAAAACTAGATTAAAGCGTTTAAGCATACTTTAAAGTGGTGTGTTTTTATTTTTTTTTACTAAGCACCAATAAAACTGGATAACGAGGTATAAGATGTTCACAACAGCATTTCACTAAAACAAGCAGTTACAACAAATATGGTACAATTGCATTTAATTCTCAGCAGAATGACTCAAAGAAGCAGTAACGTATTTTTAGATCCATCTGTCGTATCGGGGTCAGAAAATATTTTCTTTAGAATCTCAACATTCCAAGGTGGAAAAGATATCCATCATCCTATGTAGCATCTAAACTATGTTGTTTTATTTTAAAGGTTGTGCAACATTAGCGGCGCCAAACGCGTCTTGTTTTTTTTCCTGAGGGAAAAATGGCTCAAAACTTCAACTTTGTGATTGATGCTTGAACATTATCCTGAAGAATATTTTGATACTGGGTTTATGACGTCCGACCCTCGACTTCAACAGGGGACCCAGTCCCTGAACTAACCACAGACAGTGGTTAGTTCAGGGCCTTTTTGTTATGACCAAAGCATATTTGTCACAACATGTTCTCGCAGGTCTTTGGAGGTGATCTGTGGGTTATCAGGAACCATCAGCCCGCTGCTGCTCCTGGACGTTTCCTGACCCTCCAGATCTGAGTTTAACAGCATCTGTGTCTGTGGTCTGCCGCTTCCTGATTGCATTTCTTACAGTTGAAACTGACAGTTTTAATCTCTGAGATTACCAACCTTCTCTTGAACCACGACCCTGAACAATCTTTGTTTCAGATCTCTCCCGAGTTGGTTTGTTCGCCCTCTGATATCACAGGAGTGTCAAAGAGAAGCAAAATGTATTAAATACTTTTCTCATGGTTTGACACACTTGTCTATGACGTTCAAGGCCAAACTGATGTAACGTGTAATCAGTTTTGTTACGTTAAATGCTGTCAAATGAGCAAAATCACAAGAGTACCCAAATTCTTCCACAGACTGTAAATATTGTTTCACAAAAAACCTCTCTTCATAAACTTGGACGATCTTAGGAATTAAAAGACATACCACTGTTATTTGTTTTTTTAGTTGAAAGTATGTTGAATTATTATGAAATCTGAGACAGTTTGCCAGACTTTTTCACATGACTGTAAATTACAACATGAAGTAAATTAACTGGCATTTTAATGGTTTAAAATCCTCAGAGTTGCTGAAAATTTTGTTGAAGATGAAACTTCTTAAGAGAGCTAACCAGTAAAAAGTAGGGAAAAATAATTTGTAAAGTTTTAATATCCTTGATGACTTCCCAGGGGAGAAAATAAACAGAGGGTTACAGTTTTTCTTACTTGACTTACGGAAACGTGAGAGTTTTTTATTCTCGGATAGATTTTATTTTGGTTTGCATTCACAGTTTTGTCTGTGGTACTTCAGTTTTCAGCCACCGTTTGATAAAAATGTCAGGGAATCAATACAAACTGCATCAAAGCATCTCTGATTCTGGGTCCAATCTTTTACAAGAAGGAAAAAGTACCTAGGGCACTGGCATGAAAGGGATGTAATAAGCTACAATGGGAAGCAATGGTGAACCGACTGTTGCATTTTGTTGTCCATTATGAAATGACTGACAGGGACAGCTCATACTCTTGGTTGCCAGTTGTGTTGCTTTAAGCCAACATTTGCTTTTGTTTCATATTTTAAATGTTTTGAGGCTTCTTGCAAGCAAAATGTGTCACTTTGATGGTGAGTGATACTCAGTTTGAGTATGCAGGGAAGCAATCAAGAACAACTGTAATAATAAAATTCCTCCTGCTACTTTGTGTTGGTTAATTTAAACTGAGTTAGACAGGTTTGAATAATGTGAACTTAGCTTTAAAGTAAAAAAGAAGAGAAGCTCTTACTTTTAAGACAACGCTCCTGTCAAAGTCTGGAAACTTCACCGTGTTGCTTTTTTTGGCCAAATAAAGGACGACAATCGTAGTAATCATCTAAACAGAGAGAAACATTAGTCTTTTGTTTGCCCCGCAGTGAAGAGAAACGAATCACGAACACCTGCACAACTTACCTGTCCAATTCCCAGGAACAGGTAGGAGGGGAATCTGCAGTCACAAATAGTACATGTGTTACGGAGTAGTTACTTTCGCCGAACAAACTTCCTGTGTGACACTGTGACTCGATGACAGGGCGACAAAAACCCACCTGAAGCTGGTCAGCACGGTTTTGTTCACCACGGTGATCAGAAACGAACTACCGGCGTAAAACAGGGCGGATGACAGCTTCAGGAGTCTGGGATGTTCCGCTGTTTCCCTGCAGACCTCCGCAGACATGTTATAAAATAAAATAATAAAATAAAAAAAAAACCCAGATAAACACAGTTAACAATTAACAACTGCTGCAGTTGTAAACTGAACGCGCCGTCGCTGGAGTTTGAGTGATTCGTGGGGTGGTTTCAGTTGTTCATTTCCTGGAAAACATTGGCCACATCCGAAAAGGAAGGGGGCAGGTGGGCGGTGCTCACACTGTTACACAATTCAGAGGCGGGAGTCACCGAGGATTATAAATGAGCTAATAGTACAAATCAGACTCATGCGGTTTGTCGTAATTAAGAGCGGTTCTTTCCTAAATCAATCACTGACTCACATGTAAAAAGTTTGAACGAACAGGACATTAATAAAACACAAGTTTATCCGATAAATACTCAAAAATTAGTTATGTTGGGTATGTTTGCCACTTGATTTATATATTTATCAGTAGTGGGTCTCGATTAAAATCTTTAATCGAGTTAATTTCAGAGTTGCAGTTTTATCGAAAACTATATTTTTGACAAAATAAGCAACAATTTTCATTAAAAAAAACCCTTTTGCTGCTAATGTATTGAATAAATAGACCTATAAGCTCAATAACAAAATTATTAATTGTTTTTAATCTGTTATTTAGATTATCCAACCATCAGATTGGTGCAAAGTGATTTCAAGTGTTTCAGGAAGCCTTAGTCATTCATGCAATTTGAAAAAAAATAATAATAATTACTTCCTTTAAATAAGAATTTTGTTCCTCTTTACTCAGAGATTTGCAAAGTTATTTGTGAAAGCGTTTTGCAGGGCACCTTTCAATTAAACTATAAATTTTAGGGATTGTATTTAAACATTTAGAAAAGTTGAAGTTTTGCAAGGTGCAGAACCCATTGTCTCATTTCACCGAATGTCTCCAGAGTAGAAAATCTAGAAAGCTACAGATGAAATCATTTTCCGGGCTTATTTTTCTTGAAGGTCCAAGATAGATGTATTGCATCTAAAGCCTGTAATGCTTGTAATGCATTGTTTGGCATTATGAAATGCCAAACAATGCACCACCCAGTGGTTATATTCTGTTAATATTGCTTCAGCAGAAAGACTTAAAAGGTAGAAAACAAATAATTTGTTCAATTCAAATAACATTTCTTGTTCTTTTCTTACCTCCTCAGCAAAATGATCAAGAAAGATGAAATTAAAATCTGTATTACTACTAACTTTTGACAGTACAAAACCGCACAAATCATTTACAAACCCAGACACAACCTGCCTTTTTTTAATAGGGTAGAATGTAATGGTGTGTAATTTGTCTTAAACTTGTGCATGCTTTAATTTGTTTTACTTTTATGTAACCAAGTTCTTTTGTAGATTTATAAGTCCTGATGTTTTGTTTGTCGGATTAAAAGTGCATTTTCAAACTAACTTTTAAGCAGGAGTTAAACATAGTTTTCATTAAGTCCTCATTTATTTTTTAAGAGTAGTTTTTTTATTGGTATGATATATGTTCTAATTTTAAATGTTATGTTTACTTGCAAGGGGAAACATCCTCATCAATTGCAGAAATTAATCTATAACATTGATTATTTTTCTTTAGTAAAACTACAAAATTTCTATTACATAAAACATTTAAATAATTTGCAGACAGTCAAGTCTAAAAGAAGCTAAAAGAAAGTTTAACAATATCCAAATAAGATTACCTCATGTTACATCCTGCTAAAAGTGCAGCTGTGTGTTTACATAGAATGAGTACCATGTGTGTGTGCATGTGTGTGTGCATGTGTGTGTGCATGTGTGCGCGAATGAATACATAAAGATGTCCATGTCTGTGTAAATATACGTCATTGGATTCTTCAGTAATTGTTTTATTGATCGATTGATGTTTGGTTTGATAAGTTTTCCTCTTCCTATCCTGCTACTAACATGAAAAATGACATGTGGCAAGGAATTGATTGTGCATGAGATTTAAATCTAATCCAAGATAATCCATGCCGATAAGAATCTGTCTACAACTGCACTGCTGATTTCAACAGAGATATTTTGTAAGTATGATCTGTCAAGCAGTAACAAGCTCTTGCTTCACTTTACAGAAAACCAAACTAAACTGCAAAGCTGCATGTTTTATCGTACGCCTTTCTTTTTAGATTATACAGAAAGTTATGTCTTGAATAAACATGACAAACATTTTCATTGGTAAAAAGTCCCAAGCTATTTTATTTTGTCTTTCTCTACAAAGGATAAGGCTTAAAAAGCTTTTTTTTTCTTTTTTGAACTGTATATGTTCTTAACCAAGTCATGTGTCATTCTACATCACCTTTAGACTGAAAAGCTCTACGGCAGCTGTGCAAAGTTAAACATTGTGAGCAGAAGGTGCTGAGCAAATAGGCAAAGCATGAGTGATTTACTTGAGTGAGTTCTATTATTCTACCCTTTAGCAGATAAAACACCATTTGCATATAGATAGCCACAGCCTAACGTAAAACACAAACGCTTTTAGTTAGTGTGTATCGGACATGAAAACATGCCTAATAAGTTAACCTAAGGCAAATTCTGTTTTTATGAATGTGTGTGACCTTATTTTGTATGATAGTGACAATACTACATTAAATTGTGCAAATATTTGCTTATAACAGCTTATTTTTAGTGGGGGAACTCCTTAAGTTCAGCGTAAAAATTATATTTCACAGGAAATAGAATCAAGAACATTCTTCTGGAGATGTTTATTGTAGCTTTGTTACTCGTCAGAGCTCTCCACTTGCTGCAGTTCATCAATAATAACAACTATAATTTATTTATAAAGCACTTTCAATCAAAGTGCTTTGCAAACAGTTTACAGAAATTAAAAATGCTTCGATGCAACTCACGACACACAACAAGTGGGCCTTTAGCTTTGCTTTAAACCATCTACAGAGAATGTCTGTCTTACATCCAGAGACAGATTGTTACAAAATTACTTCAAAATTTAGGTACCTGAAATGAGAACGCTCACCCACCAACACACTTTTTTCTGACCCTTTTTCCTGACAACAGAGGGCATGAGAAGGTACAGATTGAGAAAATTATTTAGTTCATAAAGTAAACTCTTCTTACAGAGGACCTGTATGTATGTTATTATACTCCAATAGTGGGATGCAGGAGTGAACTTTAATCTAACGTGACTGTGACTCAGCAATTTACTCTTCATATAATTTTAACCCGTTATACTTACAATTTTCTCCACAAGATGGTGCTACAGCACAAGTCTCGGTCTCCACAGGATCTTCCTTGGTTCTACCGACTACAGTTAAAGCCAAAATTATTTACATTTGAAGTCATTTTCACTGAATCACAAAGTTTATTTCTGAAAGGAAATAGGACGAGAATTTCTCAAAGGATAAAAAAATAACAAACGGAGTACACATACGAGAAATAAATATGTTTTCATCTAAATTTTATATATATATATATAAAAAATTGGCATTTTAAACAATTACTCCTATCTTCCTGAATGATCTACAGAAAAGTCTTTATGGACATTGTAGCAACTGCTTATAATTTCTGACCAGGACTTTGAATGTTTCCTCCAGTATTTTGATCATTTATCTGTGGTGATAAACTCCAAGTCTCTGAGGTTGGAAGGCCTCTTTGTCATCACCCTAATCTGTCGTTCTTCCGACCGATTCTCTATCAGATTCAAGTCAGGACTTTAACTTTGAGAAGGGGGTGTAATTTGGCCTGTGGGTTCAAAGGGTTTTTTTTTTAAATAATGGCAACAAAGACACAGAGCTTTATAAAAATCAGCACAATTTCTTCAGATTCCAGCAGCTGCATGTTTGCACAAATCCTCTTTCTTTTTCCTCCAACCTAGTCTACACAGCTTTTTTTTTTCCAACTAAATGGATCCTGCTTGAATCAATTAATCCACATATCTCTTTGCACTTTTCACATGAGATGAGCCAAAGCTTTGTGCCAGTCAACCTGCTGATGGATCAAAGCCTGAAGATGAATGACTGGGGATTAAAGCTGTGAAAGGGTGTTCAGGTGTTCACAACTGTGACCTGTTTTTACACGTATGTGCATGTGTTTTGGTTCCTTTCAGGGCCAGCCCAAGCCTCCGTGGGGCCCCAAGGGAATTGTGGTTTTGGGGCCCTCTAGTTCTGCTAACAATGTGGACCAGCTGCAATCAGCAGTCCGACCTTTAATTCATTCACATACCTGCTTTAAACTTATTGGATCTCTGGCAGTGTTGTTTACATTATATACATGTTTAACATAGGATACATTTATTGGCCAACTGATTTATCAACCAGTTGATTTCTGGGACCGATTTCCTTCATTTTGGGGAACTGTGATTGGCCGATACCTACATATGAAGCCTGCCCCCTTAAGGGCGGCTCCAACACGCCCTAAAACAGAAAAAGTCCAAAAACAAAAAACAAGCCAACCGGGGTGGGCAGAGGGGTGGGCGGAGAACCCACTTACAGGGTCAGGCCACGGGTTAGGGTTACATTCTTCACTTAAATGTGAAAAAAGATTAAAAATACCCACTATCTGCCTTTTAGACAGTTACTTTCTTTCCTTAAAGGTGGAAAAAGAATATAAACACCCACTATCCTAGATAGTTAACTTTGGTAACCAGGGATCGGCCAGAAAACTGCAATCAAGCAGTTTTCTAGCCGAAAACTGATTGCAGTCAAAGAATCATGACATTCTTTGACTAAATAAATTTCTCTTCAGCGTAACTCCAATAGTTAAAAATTTAATTTATACCAGGTGAGTCTTTCTCCCCTGAGAATGTGGACCGTTACCAGTACCGGGTTGATTCTGAGCCTTCAAATGATTTTAACAGAAGTTTCACATAACTTAGAAGTTGATGTGGCGTTTTGAATCCAAAAATACCTCAGAAATATACAGAGCCAACCATGAGAATCAACTCATTTAAAGTTAAAACTCAGTTTCACACAAACACAAAGACCCTAGCATAAATGTTTGGCTGTTGAACTGGACCGTTCCAGGTCGCTATCAAGCTAATTTTCTATTAGCAGCTTTAAATCTTTTACATTACATTATATTACCAAAGCACATTAAAACAAACCTTTATCTTGGCTTTTCTCTATTCTTCCTCTTTCTTTTCTCTCTCCCTGAAGGGTAAATCCTTTTTTGAGATATTGTTTTGCTAACTTAACTTCTGACCGGAGCTTTGGACGTTTGGATGCTCTGCTCATCCAGCTCATGATACCGGC